TCCTAGGTTTTACGGGAAATGGCATATTGTCCTAAGGCCATATTTATTCATAAGCCGTTGTATCCATTCACTCATTCGCTCGCATTCCATTTGTAGGGAATGGCCAATAAAAGGATGTCATTAACGTTGTCCTTGAAGTAGGCAGTTAGACTGTGATAGTCCCTGTTCAGCTTTTGGTCTACCTTTCGCAACCGCATGAGAATGAAAAATAATGGACAGCTCTTTTTCTCAGATTTTTGAGCAAAATGTCATTCTCCTGTAATGTGGTGTGGTTTGAACATATATGCATAAAAATATTTAGTTCAGTATTGTTTCATGCCATTTGAAACTTCTATGGATTGGCCATGTGTTGCGATGAGTATTGCGGGCAGTTTCAAAAAAATGATTTTCTGTCTAAATTCTTATTTGTTTACACTCTGATAATACCGTTGCAGCAAAACTACTTGAATTTTCTAGTGCAGTCGTTATTTCTGTACGACTTCCTATTGAGTTTTCGCTACCCTTTATGTCTCAGCCTGAACTTCAATGTCTTTCAGAATATATCTGTTTATGACGTAGTAGTATAGTGCTATTGCAATCGTATTATTCTTCTTTACCAAAGATTTACTGTTGTAGTGAATTTGCCGTTGTATGTACGGATTATTTGAGCATGAGATAATCCATCGTTTGCGCGTTTAGCCATAGACAGCTCCACCGTTTCCGGTTTTGTTGCTGCTGTTAGTTATGCTGTAGTTTACTTTGTCATCCAGTCGTCGTCCTTTTGACTTGAGGGACATGCTAGGATTTGTGATTTTTGTACTCGATGGCAATTGAAATTAGGTCACGCTTTGTACCGAGTTTTGTTACCTATTGCAGTCGAGTCTGACTTCGTCACTTCAGTAATGTTAATAGCACGAAATTATTGCAAGCTTAAGATAGGACCAGAAATTTCATTCCTGATCTACTTCTGTGGTGTATTTATTTTACGTTTTTGGCTTTAGTTAGCTGTTTGATTGAGGAAGACAAATTACACCATGTTGTGCATCTGTCAATCTGAATGGTCGTATGTTTCGCACCCTCTTGCATTATCACCTTAGAGAACGCTCTTCTCATCGGTCTGTTTGCATATCAGGTATTGCTACCCGTTTCTTGTTTGGTTGGGTCGTTACATAATGGGCTAATGCTTTGCTTGAATGAGCGATTCGCTATAAGATTTTATGCCATGCCGAAACCGGAAGTATGCGCAAATAAAATTGCAGTACCAAACTACAGTCTATTGTGCGATTCCTCTTCCAGAGAATAATTCGTCCGAAACCTGATTTCACGGCTTGTTACACTGCCTCATGCTCACGGTTGCTTACGGGGCCATTCAAGCTGGCCACATCAATAAGGTATTAGATCAACTGCGTTGTATTTGGTATCATCGAAATAGTTATGGCGGTGTCTTTCTATTTAGTGAGGTTTTGAACTTTTCAGCTTAGCAGTTTACTTGAAGAGGAATTTTGTTTTGACGGGGAACACTATCTTTAAAGTGCAGCAATCACTGAGTTACTCGTTCTCTGCTTGTTTGTGTTTTTTTAAGTTTGTGTTGTATCTTTTTATAGTCTCTTGCTGCTGCGGCTGGCTTTTATTATGGTAGTGTTATCACTTTACCATGGCAGCTTCTTATACTTACCTGCTGTGGTACTGGTGCCACTTTCACATTTATGAA